GCACTAAAAAATTAAAAGAAAATGAGTATTAGATCAGCGTACTGCGCAACATGCCAAGTTGTGTCCGCCAGTGATTGTGGGGCCACTTGATTCGTTACTCGCGGGGCCATAATACATGCGGGTTTTATCTTTTCACCTTTGGGAAACAAAATTTGTCCTTTCATCCAAAAGGAAGAAAAGTCCATTTGGGAGACCACGGGTACGGCATAAATCGTTTATATAATTCTTTTAAATTTCTTTTACATTTCTTAAAGCCAATCAACCAATTTTATATCAACTTAATATATTTATTGATTTTTCATGCAAAACCCTCCAGCTAATTTTTTCCCCAAACAGTGAAAAAGAAAATCTGCTTCATCATTATGTGGTTGGTTTAGTTACTGCGTGATGCAAGTTTAGGATAACTGTGTTCCGATTTATAATTGCTCTCTTGTGCCCCTTAACGGAATATTCTTCCAATTTTCTTTTCACTGTGCATGAAATCAATAACTTCTGCGTTGTTTCAGTAAGTAGTAAACAATTTCTTTTTTTAATAGGGAGAATATTTTTTTTTCCCTTTCGTGATAAAAAGCAAGTCTTCATCATTCTTCTGTGGTCATTTAAAGAATATAAATAAGACATGTAGTTATTAGCCATATAAAATTTCTTGGTTACATATTTCACTATATATACAGTATGTATATTTTGATTAGAGAAACGATGGGGTGGAGATTCCTGCACATTGATCTTATTTCTTAGCGGTGTGATTAGCTACTGCATCAAGTGGCGATTTATTTCTTTTACTATTTATAAGAAAAATTAATCCCATAGGTCTTTTTAAGCTACTGATTTGAGATTGATATGAATTATAGTCACTTGTCATATTATTTTTTAATATAAAACAAGTAATGACACGGGCATGATTGGCAATAATTTTGTCTTAGTTCGGGTGATTGCGAAACAACCTCCAGTATTGCACAACAAAAAGGGGCCCCAACAAAGATTTGGTTGAAGAAAGTTGAAAGATTTGGTCGTAGAAACAGTTGGGATTCAATTAATAATTCTCAAAGAATGAATAAATGAAAATTCGAGATAATTAATGCTCATAAGGATGAACGCCAGACGAAAATCTACACAATATAGGTCTATTTTATTAAGTTTTCTAGGGCCAGTATAGGTCTCTATTGTACTCCCATGACCTTTTTTTTTTTTTTGGGTCATAAATATAGAATTTTGATAAGGAAACAAGTTGGCGTAAAACTATAAATATACTTGTATATAACTCACAGAATAACAAGAAGAATCAGAGAGGCATCTTAATTGGCGCGTATTCTTTTCGAGACACAGGCCTCAGGGCTTACTATGTTGACTTGTTTCAAATGTTGGATACGCTTTTAGTTGAAAAATTTATTTTAATCTTAAATATAAAGTTCTAATCATCTTTTACATTTCAAAATTATAATTTTCTCCTAAATTATCTCTATTGTTTGCACGTCTAATAAATGTTTTCATCAATAGAGTACTCTGATGTTTCTGTTTATAAGTTGAAAAGAGAAAACTTTTTGGTATTATTTATAAGTCACATTATTAAATTTTTTATATTAATGCACAATATTCTCATTCATTTATTATTGTATAGATTATTATTTTCTTAGAAAGTGTAATATATTAAATAAGGGTGAAATTAAAAAATTATTAAATTTTAGAACAAGATTAATAAGGTTTTTTTTTTGTCTTTATCAAGTATGTTAGAAGTCACATAAATAAGATTGGACGAGTAATTTCTAATACAAATGAATGAATAAGACAACTTAACAAAACCAATTTGGTTTTCTTATACACTTATAGCTAGCTACTTTTTTTTTTTTTTTTTTGCCAAATAAAACTAACTGCTATCAATTCTTCCTTGAGAACAATTGGGTTTTTTGGGGGAAAATCGTAAAATAAAAATTCTAAAAATTAAAAAATTGCATATAGGAACTGTTCATAAAAATGGTTGTCATTTGCTTATCAGTTATTATCCAAAACAATACTAATATTGTAACGGGATCCTTATTTATAATTTTTCTATTTTAAGGTTTTTTTGTGATTTTTTTTGGGCTAATGATCTAAAAATTAGTTTTCCATTCATTTATAAAGAGTATTATTCCTATGTACCAACATACTGGAAGGTGATGTCCATGGCGGCCTGGGGCCACGTCAGATAAGGGTTCTGGAAAGTATGAAGTTAGGTTGGTCCTGTCATCAAGGTACTAAAAGCTAGATTAGCCACCAAACAAAAGTTAATGGGCTAGATCTGAGTTAATCCAGGAATCAAACCAGTGAAAATAAAAAATTAAAAAATTATTTAAATTTTTGTCATACCATCTAAAGACTAGATATCAATTTAGTATCTTGAATTACTAATAAAATAATTATATACTTACAATTTTTTCCAACTTTCTTTGTGATTCCTTTGAAAAATTGAAATCATAATATTACATTATTAAAATATCTAAATATTCATCCTAGCAAAATATCAAAATAGACATATTATAAAAAAATATTCCCCCTTACAATCATTCAATCACCAAGTAAAATTATCAACAACTAAAAAAAAAAAAAAACAGTTTTTCATCAAAATAGTTTTCCTTTTTTAAAGGAAAAAAAGAGAGGCAACCAGATTAACTCACTAAATTGGTCAAATTAACGGGGCTGCTTCCCTAGTTGGTCGGGGTCAACCCTGGGTCAAATTTTCCCGATTCATTGGGCCCGACCGAACCAGAGAAGTGATTGGATTTGGATCCAACCCAATCCGGATTTCAATACTATGCCTGTCATATCTAATATCAATCACCCCTCTTTTATCACTTACCACCCCACACAAATACAAACAGGTTTCTCTGTCGTCTTCTCTGTTTGATGTGTGGAAGGAACATGGTTGTTGGATATAGCTAGATAATGTTTAATGCAAGTTCAAATCATCTTTGCCATCATTTATACAACTATTTATAAGTTCGTTATATATAAATTAAGACAAAACTCTTCTTAAATATTTACTTCATATTTTATAAATTATGACTACTAAAAAATTGCTTATAAATCATTTCAAATAGTCCCAAGTAGTTTCAAACTAAGTGTTGATCTCAAAAGTCTAAATAAACAACAGCGTACTACCTCATTAGTATTACATCATTTACATTACTCACACGATGACATCATCACCTCAATTATATTGAAAATAAATGACACTACTTGACACATTGAGGCTCATTATCCATGTGTAATTGGAGGGATGTGCATCTTTTGCTTCTTCTTCTTTGTCTCATTTTATTTTCCTCATCTCTCCTTTATCTGTGATTTCTCTTTTTACCTACTTTTACCAATGACATTTTTTTTGGAGCAACTTTACCAATGACAATTTAACATGGCAATCACATGGTTGAAAAAGTTGCTAAACCCAGTATTATTGGGACTCAACAGCATTACTCCACAATAATAATATAACTAACATTAGTATATCATTAACTTGTCAAATTAAATTAATTTTTTAATTATAAAGACAGACACTAATAATTTAAGATCACAAATCTGATTCACGACCTCTTATTTATAGTGCTACTAAATCACAGAGTCATTGGTAATATTACTGTTAATAAGTTAAAAATAATTAAAATATAACGTGGGATCCTTGGCAATTAAGGTGATATGTTAGTAAATCACAAAGAAAAGGTCAAAATAACCAAAAATGAAGAAAAGTGTTGGGGCCATATTCTAACTTATTTTGTGGCTCAATCCCAAAAAGATAAAGGACAGGAAGTTAGTAGTACGTAACGAGATCATGCATCTGAAAAAATTATAATAAAAAACTTTATAACTCATCGTTTAATTGAGAAATCATGTTCATTGTATAATTTGAGGATTAATTTATCAGGAACGTCTTGAAGTGAAAATTCCACAGACAAAAGGAGATCCAAACTTGTCATTAATAAAAATTCATGTATTGTTGAATTCCAAACTCTGAGATAAATCCCCAACATATCTTTTTCTTGAAAATTTTTAAGCTGTTGTATTTTCTAATAAATATATGTGGTCTGGAAATTACGTAAAGATTTAAAATTAGCAGTGGAGTATATTAAATAATAGTCTCGAATTACGGACCTCCAAGTACTCTTCGATAAAGTGTACGTGTTTGTAGTGGAGTATATTAATTCCAACTTTTCTAAGACCAAATCTTTCAACTTTCTACAACCAAATCTTTGCTGGGACCCGTTTTCCGATGTGAAATTGGATGTTATTTCATAATCATCCGAATTAGCACAAACTCGTCGCCAATGATCCCTGTGTCATTTTTTGGTTTAGATTTTAAGAAAACTAACACAGAACTCATTAGAATTTTCTTTAATTTCAGTTTTTGCAGCTTATTTTATTGGATTTGAGACCTTGTTATTTAATTTAACATTAGAATTTTGAATCATTAGAATTAACATTCTTTTACTCAAACCAGGGAATCCACTTCAGCAAAATTTATTTTGACCATATGCATGACTCTCTGATTGTAAACCAATACGGCTTATATAATAAACACTATTTAACCAAGGCTATTTGGAGGTCCCGAATTCAGGACTATTTAATATACTCCACCCGTAATTTTAACTTTTTTTATTGCTCATAGGTGTTCTTATATTAAAGGCAATTCTATTTAAAACAGGGTAAAAAAAATATTCCACATTGTAGTACTCCTCTAGTCCTAAATATAACGCTAATCTCGTAGTATAAATTACACTACAAAATAAATTTTATGTTTAAGACATGAGGAGTAAGATTAAGACAAGTTATAATAAGCCATCTCTATATAAAGGGTACCATATAGCTGGCTAGTGGGCATTATCTAACACGAGAAATGGAACACGTCATCAGCTTAAGTAACAACCAAATGAATGAACAGAGTGCTCTCTATGGGGCAGCACGTTGTGGGGATGTACGGGCTTTGGAGCATTTGTTACAGCAAAACGCATTAATCCTTGACAAAATTCCAGATGATGGCCGTGAAACTCCCTTACACATATCTGCAGTGCTATCATGCTTCATTCACCGAGGCTCTTCTCAATCGCAATCGCGACCTTGCCACTAGACAGGATTCTGCTGGAAGAACAGCCCTCCACTTGGCTTCTGCAGAGGATAACCTGGAGGCCGTGCAGACACTGCTAGACTTTAATGATGAGCCATGCTTGGTTGCTAATAGAGAAGGAAGACTTCCTCTGCACTATGCAGCTATGAGGGGGAGGCCACAGGTTGTGGAAGCATTGGTCATAGCGCAGCCAGATTCTCTAGGTTGTCTTGACCCACAAGGGAACAGTGTTTTTCACTTGTGTGTCACATACAACCATTCCAAGACTCTGCAATCATTGGTAAAATTGGACTATGCCACTGCCAATGCTACTGTAGGTGCGCCTCGCGTTCCCATCCTTACGTCCCCTGATCGTACGGGAAACACCATTCTCCATTTGGCCATCATGTATGAGCGAGATGAGGTAAATAATACTTTATTCTTCTATTCTTTTCTTTTAATTTTTTTTTTCAAAAAAAGAAAGCTTGCATGTACTAGCTATTTATTTTTATTATATTAGGATGACTTGAAGCTTATGAAATCACTGTTCACAATCCACTTCATCACTCTTACCATTTGATGAACTCGCCAGTATCTAATGCTAACGGCTTTGATACACTTTATTTAACAGCAAGTCTTAGTAATGTTTTACTTTTAGAAATGTTTATCACATTTTTAGCAAGAACAAAATATGTATGTATACGTTTTTGTTCAAAGACCTTTTATGTGCTGTTATTTCCCTTTATCTATGAAGAAACACTAATATTGTTTCTATTGTCTTGCTCTTTTAGGAGTTTGTGAGTTACTGCAAGCTAACATTTAACATTTTGCTTGTTCTAATATTGACAAGAAAATGATTATTTATGAACACAACATAGAAAAAGTTACATGGCATTCACAAATCGCAGTTGATCTAGCCGAATACCTTACTAACGTGTTTGTATTTAGGCTGTAAGGTATCTGCTGTCAATTCCAGAAATAAGAGAATTAGGAAAGACGAAGAACCAAGATGACCTTACGGCTCTGGATATCCTGGAACTTAGTCCAAAAGACAGGAAAATCAAACAAATAAAACTCATGTTGACAAAGTCCGACACGGAAGAATCTGGAAAGTTCGACACGAGAGAATCTGAAACATCGATGTCGAAGCGTATTAGGATGATTTTAAAAAGGATGGGAAACCACTTGAAGGGTGGGGTTGATACTAGTTGGATAGAAGAAGTGAGGGGGAAACTGAGTGCGGCATCTATTTTTATGGCATCCGTAACCTTTCAAGCCTTAATTAATCCACCAGGGAGCTTTATTCAACAAGACTTCGCAAAGCGAGAAGATGCCCCCTCACCGTCTGCGGCCCTCAACTGCGTGATGGATGGCGATAGAAAGCTTTGTCCCGGAGAAGCAGTCTCATCCTTTAATCAAGGAGGACCATTTCTGTCGTATGCAGCTTGTATTACCATCTCTTTCTATGCATCCCTTTCTGTCACCCTCCTGCTTGTAAGTGGAGTTCCTTTGCAGAATAGTGCCGCCATCTGGATTCTAGCTATAGGCATGTCTCTCTCTGTCCTCAGTCTTGCAGTTGCATACAACTTTGCCGTCTACATGTTGGTCTACTCTGCTGGTTATTTAGGCCTCGTGGCCTTGTGTGCATTTGTTCTCTGGACTTGTGGATTTGTTCTTCCACTTGTGTTGTTTAACACAATGCGCTTTCTCATCTGGATTGCCAACAAATGTTGTAATAAGACTAACAGGAAGTGAACAAGTCGCTGCTGCTGCTCTGTATCTGCCAATTAATGCCTCTTGTTGTCGGCAAGAGACAAACAATGGTATCCTGCATGAGTTGTTTTCAGGATTAAGAGCATTGTTATTTTGTTATTTTAGTGGTTTTTGTTTTGCTGCCAACTTATGTTAGTGTATGTGTTATGTTTATACGTGTGTGTGTTTGTTCCCTGTGTGTTGTTGCATGGGATAATAAAATTATTACTTAAGAAGATAGTTTAGTGTCCAGTTCTTTTTATCTCTTATTTCAACACCTGTTTCAGCGGGACTTTTTTAATCTATTTTTAGTGCCTATATTCATTTTGTTTATATTTCCAACGCTTGAGAATCTTTAATTATTGTGAATGAACATTTAGCAATATGTTTACTTCAGAAGAATGACTAAAATGTTTTCAACTAACTCAACCAAATTAAGAAAATTTTGTTACATTTTTAAACTTTGCCAAAAAAGAGCCCAAGATTCCATTTTTACGTACCTTAAATATTATTAAAAGCATGTAAACTTCATTAAATGTAAAGACAATAAACCCAACCAGTTAAAACATGACTTCAAAATAAGTTGAGGCTAACATGAGATAAATCGGGGATAAAAAAGATAAACCATTAAAGTAAATATTACATGACACCGTATATTACCGACCAAGAAAATGTTTTAGAAGATGCCTTATATATCTTATTGGAGTGAATATTAGTATGCAATATCATAATCAATTAAGTAGCATTTACCACGTATACATTAACCTCCAACTTGAATGATTGCCTTCATCTAACTAATTAACGGTTCGAAATTAATCAGAAACTGAATCTCCTTAGCTGCAAGTTACGAAGGAATAAAGCGAAGGAAATTGGAGGTACAAAGAAAATAAACCAAATAGCTCACAACAGTGAAACTTTAATTTCAGCTTAAAACAGAAAGGAACAATTGCAAATAAAGACCCTTAAATGTATGAAATTGTGAATGGGTTCCTGAATTAACATAATTGTTTGAAGAGACTGGGCCTATCAATTCCATAATTTAACATTTTATTACATATTTGGAAGTTATGATGCGGACAAACCGTTAGTTAAAGCCCATAAATTAAAATTTTCATTTTACTTTTGGGCTACTGTTCATTTGGTACTTCCAAGTTTTCGGTCCAAATTTAAAAATTTATAATTAATTATAAAAAATTTGTGTGAGGGTATTCTAAAATTCTTATGAAACCTCTACAAATCCTTTATATGAAAAAGAAATATCATTCTAGCCTGATCCTATGCGTATTGACATAGTTTATTGCATTTCCTAACTTTCCTTGAGTTTTGAGTTGTGCATGAGAAGGGCCCTTGTGAATTTAACATAACCTAACAATGCTGATACGTGTAAGGGAGTTTCAGTGAAGGCAGTTCTTGAAACCTTGAACAGGATTAACGGGTTTTGCTGCATCAATGAGTTCAAAATGGGGACGTCCCCTCTAAGGGTGTGTTTGGTTGGAGGGGGGAGGGGAGGGAAAATGAGCCCCTCCCCTCATTTGGTTAAAAATTTTGGAGGGGAGGGGAGCTAAAATGTCTCCTCCCCTCCCCTCCCTCCCCCCATTTTGGCTCCCCTCCAAATTAGGGGTTTTTGGAGGGGAGCCAAAATTTTAGACTATTATGCCCTTATAGTTTTTTTAATATTCCACTTCTACCCATAAAATATATTATTATAATATTTATTTCTAATAAAAAATATATTATCCTAAGTATAAAAAATAAAAAATATATACATTATTATAATTAAAAATATATTATAAAAATTATTTTTAAATAAAAAATTATTTAAATAAAAAATTATAATATTATAAAATTAATTTTTTTTATAAATATATTATTTATTAAATATATTTTAAAGCTGGAAAAAAAGATAGTCTAAAGAAAATAAAATTTCATTTTTCTTAGAGCATATAAAATTTGTTAATTTGATTATTTTAAATATATTATTATATTAATTAGAATAAAAAATTACTATACCAATTTTTTAATACATATATTAACATGATAAGACTGAATTTTTATTAAATTATATAATTTAAATTAATATGTAAATTAATTTATATAATATATCAATAAAAAACATAAACTAATATGTAAGGGTAAAATGGTAAATTGATTATTACTATTCCTCCCCTCCCCTCCTTGAACCAAACAAGGGATCATTAAATACCCTCACCTCCCCTCCTTTTTAATCAAACCAAACAAGGTGAGGATGAAACCTCCCCTCTCCTTCCCTACGCCTCCCTCCCCTCCCTCTTCTACACTCTCCTCAAACCAAACAGGCCTTAAGTGATGCCTCGTAAAGATCTCTCATTTTGTCACTATCACATGAAGTTCTCATTTCTCTTGCGTGCATGGCTTCATATATGATTCGTTTATATAAGCTTCTTATACATATATACATAGGCTTAGAGCAGCTTGGAACGTGCAATGTGACCAGCGAAAGCGAAAGTCAACACACACACACACACACACACACACACACACAGCTAAAGTATTTTGCCAGGAAGTCAGCCGGCTGGTTTCCTTCATCCATGCCTGGCCCATATATATATGGGCCGGGATATATATGGGCTGGCTCATATATGGTTCAAGTATGGATTGAGTGGTAATATGTGAAGTTTGTCCTTCGTCGCAACTACTCCAATAATAATTCATCCATGTAACCTCAGTTGTAAATAGCCAGCGCCAATAACTCAAGTTATAAGCATGCAAAGTTTTGCTGAAAAATAAATTTAGGTACTTATGATGATTATGTGAATTTCAACCCATTAAAACAAAAATTACAACACTCTAATATGCTTTAAGATAAAAAAAAACAAATTTCATGGTTAGCTGGATATAATTAGAACAAGCAATCCGGCTCAGGCTACAAGACGTACTATGGGTAACGAAAGGATGAGATTTCTTCTCCAGGACAAAACATTTGATGATGAGATCGATAAACCTCATTGAATGAAGCAATCAAGTGGGTTAATCGAAGCTTGAAAGGTTATAGTTGATAGAACAGTTGATCACCAGACTCAGATTTCCTCTCATATCTTACACCCATTAATCATCCATCTATTTAAACCAAATTCCTATTTATTTTAAAATCTTTATGAAACAATTTCTCTTCCAACATTGGTGCTTTGTTTCCGGTAGTTGGCGTGGATGGGTTTTAACAATTCTCCCTTCTTCCCTATTTTGATGCCAAACGTTCTTAAACATGACTTCTGTACACAAACACATGTCAATTTCACAGAAAACTTTAATTAATCAGTAGATTGAGATGACGATAGTTTTAAATTATCTAACAAAGTACAAACTTAAAACGGACCTGAAATAAGAGAAACATATAACCATAATATAACATGAATTATTATCCTAAAAGCAGGCCATGCCACTTGTGACCGGCCGGACAATAAACAGCATTAGTTGAAATGTGATATATAAAGAAACAGCATCAACTTTCTCTAATTCCACACGTCAACAGCTTTCTGATTAGTCTGGCACATTTCTTCACTACCCAAATTATAAAGCGCAGTGTGATTAACACTACAATCAGCACAAGCAATCCAGACCAGGCGCAAATTGAGGCTGCAAGGGTGGTCCAACCTGCTTTATTCCAAAGCAGATGGTTTGGCATCACCATACAAAGAGCAGTTAAGTAGGCAAGGGCTAGGGTTGTGAGAGTGATACACATGCCTATGGATAAAAGCCATATCAAAGCTTTGTTCTTCATAGGAACTCCACTCACAAGCAAGAGGGTGACGCTAAGCGATGAAATGAAAGAGATAGTGTTGAAAATTACATACTCCAAAAACATATCTTGGGAACTAAAAGATGAGAGAGCTTCCCCAGGACAATAGGACACGTTGTTAGGAAGGATAGTGCACTTTAGGGCTTCAATATTGGATGAGCCTTGAGATAAACCTTGTTGGATGAAGCCACCAGGTGGATTTATCAATGATTGAAATGTTATGGTGGCTATAACAGTAGACACTAAACTCAGATTTCCCCTCATTTCTTCTACCCAGTCACCCTTGTGTTTGAACCAACCTCCAATCCATTTCAAAATCTTTATGAAGCAGTTTCTCTTCTTCTTTCGAGTTTGAGGTTTTGGTCTTGCAACTGGTGGTGATGAGTGTGAATGCGTGTGGATTCCGTTCTTCTCAGCTCTAATTCCAGAATAGTCCGTCAGCATGACTTGTATTTCTAGGGTTTTGAAATCTTTTGGATTACGTTTGAGGATGTCATAGGCTGTAAGACCCATGTCGTTCTTGAAGCTTGCCATTTCTATTACATATGGGATTGATAGGAGGTACCTTATAGTCTGAAATATTAAACTTGCATGTTAGTATATTGTGGGAAGTGTCACATATGAGTTTGGGGTTAAAAAAAAAAATTGACCCAACAATTCACAAAAAATATAACCCATTTATGTAAAAAGAAAACTCTTTATATCAGGGAGGATATCACACCTCAACTTGCTTGGACGCGACAGCTAAATGGAAAACGGTGTTGCCCGCTTCATCAGAAATCGCGAAGTTAAGAAGCTTCCGAGAAATGGCAACTTCCAATTCCACCAAACACTTGAGAGTCTCCAAATGATTGTGTATCACACACAAGTGAAAAACAGTGTTTCCATTATCAAGAAAGCTCAGAGACTCAGGCTTCGCGTTCACCAACTCTTTCACAACGTCTAATCTCCCTCTCATAACTGCATAATGCAAAGGAATTTTGCCCTCTTCATTAGGAAACGAGCATGGCTTGTCATTAACTTTAAGAAGTTCCTTCACGATTTCGGTATGACCTTCTGCAGAAGCCAAGTGGAGGGGTGTGTTCTGGGAAGAGTCAACCTCAATGGCTAGTCTGGGTTTGTATGTGACAAGTGCCTTGGTAAATTCAAGGTGGCCAAGCAAGGCTGATATGTGTAAAGGAGTTTCGGTGAAGCCACTTTGTGAGATCTTGTGGAGGATTAATGGTTCTTTTGGTAAAAGTGAGTTCAAAGTTGATACAGATCCTTTGCGTGATGCTTCATAAAGAACGCTCAATCTGTCCTCTTCACCATGGGAAGTGCCCATTTTGATTATTATAGCCTCTCTTGCGTGAATAAGAAAGTTCGATGTATTCTTCATTATATATATACATCATTTTGAAAGAATCTGTCAAAAGTGTGTTGCTTATGATTACTTAATGTTCAAGTTTGTGTCGAATTATGTGAAACCATCGTCCACAACTCAATCTGTGAAAGCAACATCACACGATATGAACAATACTTTATCGACAATCCTATTTGAATATATCGTTTTCCAAATTTTCACCTGCAAATGTTATCATTACACTAATAATATTCTCGTCACCCAACTAACCGTTTACTCCAAATCACACCTGGGGCAGTATTTCTTTACGCCGATTCTGACCAATCCAACCTTTGTTTTTTTTTTTACCAAACAAAAAGAGAAAAAGAAAAAATTGGTAGAAGGGGGAAAACATATTAAAAGTGGTGAAGTTTTTCACTTATTATTACGTCATACATACACGTATTGATATAAATTAGTACATAGGCTTTAAAATGGTTAGATTTTGATTATTTTCATGCTTATACTAATAATATTAATTAATAATCGTCCTCAGAACAGGTTGCGTGATTGGTTGCATTCCTCGAATGGGATTATTTTCTGCTTCGGCACATACTATGTGAAGATGCTATAACATATTTTAATTAGTCTTAACGATTTAAAAATGATATTTTCTGATTCTTCCAATGCGCTATGGAAGAATGCCTTGGAGAAAAAAGCAGGCGGCAAATCGGTTAGGAGACAGGTTAGGATCGATAAGCCTAATGTGGAAGGTTGAAAATCTCATTTTGCCAGAAAGTAGTCAGCCGGCTGGTCTCCTCAAATATAAATTGGCTAGCGCCTGCAACTTCCAGTTATAATTGATATGACAACAAGAGTCATCCTTTTGTTTATTTGTTTGTTTGCTTCCACAAAGTGTTCGATTCCCACAAACACTGATGATGCCACCAAATATTGTAGTAAAAATAGACACTCACAAATCAAGGTCGATCTCAGAGAACTCAATTAATAGTAATTAGGCAATAAAAATTCTTGTTTCGTTTAAGTTGAAAAAATCAAGATTTAATAAAATTGAGTAAAAAGAAATTAAAATAAAGAAAACAAAATTCTCTCAAATTAACTACCCAAATATTAAAAAGAACAACTTAGAGTTACAAATCTCTTGCTAGCTTCTTGAATTTTAATTCACTAAATTGGTTAGCTTTAATGTCAATTTTGTTAATTTAGTTTCAATTAGTTACAAGTGTCTGTCGGTCTACTTATAACCCTCTCTTAAATTAATTATCTAATGTCTCACACAATTAACTAAAAAGCTAAACAATTCAGTCTCACTCGTTAACAATTATAAAGGGCAATTAGATATATTTTTATTCTAATCACAAATTAGATTATCATCCAATCTCATATCACTTAATCTAAGAGCCCAATTAAAATCTCTTTTATAAAAAAACACTTTAATTCTCAAATTTACAATTAATGATGACTAGTCATCAAATGGATAATAAAACATAAGATTAAGTAACCAAAATTTAACATTAAGCATCGTCAATTCAGTAAAATTAAAATCAGTATATTAACAAGTTCATAGTTCCTCTAGACTGTAAAAAGAAATTTAGCTACACATGATATAATCAGTTTCACCAACAAGATTTAGATCAGACTCCATCAGAATACAAAATAGGAACAAGGGAAGAAAACAGAACACTGCTAATGGTCTCCTCTCATCACTGCCGTCGCTTGAACTCGTTCTCTCAAGATCATTGCTGTCGCCACTTTCCTGCTTCGAACCAGTCTCGGCGTCTACGATTCAAGGGAGGAAGATGATGAACAGTGTCGACCGACCTTCAACCCAGTTCAGCGCTCCTCTGCTCACAACACCATGATGAAATCTCGGTCCCCCTCTGGTTCTCACCAGCGTCGACGCCTCCCAGAGGAACCTCACAGCTCCAAAAAACCCCTTTCGGCGGCCCTCCAAGATGATGATCGTGATTTTCCTTTTTTTTCAGTTTCGGCGGCCTCCTCCAGATGATGGACGATAATCCCCTTCAAAACAGAACCCTCCGCAATCCTCCAAACGGTGCGTTCCACTCCTCCCATGTGCCAACGGTGTGTATTGATTCAGCAGCTTCAAAAACTTCCTCTCTCCGTTTCGGCAATAATAAAAGGGGAGGACAAATGAAGATAAAATAAACGGAGAAGAAAAAATTAAAAGAAAATATAATATTAAAAAAAGGAAATAAAATAAAAATTAAAACTGACATAAGATGAATCTATAGCTACTTTTATTTATTTAAAACCAAGCTATTTACAAGAAAATCCCCCAAATAATGCTCATAATTAATTTCTATTCAAAACTCTTTTAAATCATCCAAAATCCTATTGATAACTCCTTAAAAATCACCTAAAATATTCTTTCAAGATATTCAAAATAATGAGTTATCAACTGGGCAAAATTGTCCCCTAGAATTATAGCCATTTCAGAGAATATATATATATATATATATACACATATATGTAGATATAAAGAATGGGAGATATGATTTTGAAGGCTACAATTGTTGGATACATGCAAATATATAGAAATAACTTGTTTGCAATTTTGCTGTGAAGCAATATATGATGCTGATTATAATGGTAATTTGGACATCGTTGGCCTTCTGCAGAAGCTAAGTGGATAGGCGTGCTTCATGAAGAGTTTCTCAAAAACATATTTCTAATTATAATTTGAAAATCTATTTTTGGTAACTACTAAAAATAATCGAATGTGCAGATTGATATTAAGTCCATTTAGATTAATGATAAAAAAAGTAGCTTATTTTCAATTAATTCAGTAAAAGTTAGATTGAGTAATGTGATTTGTGTATGGATTGATTTTTGTAAATAAATCAATTTACAAAAGTAGAGTTGTTTGGATTATTAGTGAAAAAATAAGTTTAGTCATAAAATAAAAAAATATAAATGTTATCAAATAATTTATATATTTTATTCTCTCTCTTATGCTATACTTTCTAGTTACATTTCTTTATATATTTTCTCTTATCTCTTATTTCACTTATTATAAAGGCATGTTTAAAATCAAAAGTACTTTCTTTGGTCTACAATATAAATTACTTCTAGAAAAATAACTTTGTCCAAAATATAAGTCACTTGATGAATTAATTAAAATGACTTATATTATGGCCTAAAAGAAATATATTTATAACTTATTTATTACTTTCAATTAATTTTAACTAATTTTTATTATCCGTGAATTAATTATTTAAAGCTTATAGCAAGAAAAAAAGAAAATAGTAAATTTCTTAAAAATGGGATCCACCTCTTTTTAACTTTGACTCTCTACTCTTCAAAAAGAACAAGCAAAAATAACTTTTTACTTTTGACTTTAAGTGGCTTTTTACACAAAAATTAAATTGCCAAATCATGAATCCAGACACTACATATTTTATCCACCACACCTTTAGTCACCCAATTGCATGATGGAGGCTAGGACTGCACATGAGTAGGCCTGGACAGGGCTAGCCCCTTGCCTAATGCCTAGTTCAAAGAATGAATAGGTTGAAAAATACAACCCATTACCCAGTCCTGCCCATGAAAAGCCCTAGTAAGTTTGGGGTGGGCAAATGTGGGCTAAACCAGGCAGGTTTCCATGCCCAATAAATTAATATATTATATTAATTAACTAATTATATATTTATATCCCTCTAAATAATCTAAAATAATTTTATATTAAAATGACAACTTGGCTTTAATTTAATTATTACTAATTAATATACCACAAAGCTACATTTGATAATAGCTAAGAGCAGTGGACTGTGACAAAAAAAAAATGTTGTTAGCATATTTTATTAAACTTACTTGTTTTTCTAGTTTCTAAAATTTCTTAACCAAATATTAATATCTTTCTTTCATAACTCCAAATACTCATTACAGGATGGAATCAGTTATATTTAAAAAAAATTGTTTTGTTTTAATAAATTTTTAAAGAAAAATTAATCTTTTAGTCCCTATAGTTTTAATACGTTTGTAACTCAATCATTATACTTTGACCCATTACAACTCATTCCTTATAGTTTTGACTCAGTTATAATTCAGTCCCTGAAATTTGACTCGCTGTAACTCGATCCTTATAGTTTTACCCATTTTATAATTTAGTCCCCCCTTTTATTAGATATATAATTTTATTTTTTAAAAATATAAGGACTAAATTATAAAA